CTGAAGTAATACCTAACGGTAGTTCCAGGGCGGCCTACAACTAAGCCGGTCGTTGAAAAAAAAAAAAAAGGTGCCTGGAACACAGGCTGATTTAGGTCGGCGCCTTAGGTATTCGTGTTTATATGTTTTTGTGGATTAATTTCGGGCTGATTCACAACGTATTGGTTTGAATTATTAAGACGGCGTGGAAATGCCATGAGGCATTACTTCAGGGCGGCCCACAATAATGCTGGCGTTAAAAAAAAAAAAAAAAAGTGGGAACCGTTAGGGAGGGTTGGCAAAATAACTCACAAACAAAAACAATACACAAAAACAAGAACCTAAGACACCGGCCTAAACCAGCGGATCGATCCGGCGTACGGGTCCGAGAAGATGCACACGTCGGTGCCCATCTCGTACGCCGCCCGCTGTACCAGGTCCTGGGCAGCCCGACAGTGGATGAGATTCGTTTGAAGGAATCTCATCTACTAGCTGGCTGCGCTCCGGCCCGTTGCGCTGCACTACAGTGTCGGTGTGATCGGGACAATATAGTGTTAATAGGAGAAAATAGAGAGAAAATTAATCAAAGGCTAGGGGTAAGAGATCAGCTCTTGAAGAAAAGGGTTTAAGAATAAGTAGAAGTAAGACATAGTATATAGAGTACGAGTTTAAAGAAGAGAACACGAGGTAGGTTAAATGATGAGGTCAGTGACAATAGGCGAGGACATGAATAGAGAGGTGGAGAGTTTTAAGTATTTAGGATCAGTTGTGCAAAAGAGCGGTGGTATTGGCGAGGATATAAGACACAGGAATAATTGCGGGTGGTTGAAGTGGAGAGAAGCGTCTGGTGTTTTATTTGATAAAATAATTCCAATGAGGCTGAAAGGTAAATTCTATAAGACTGTAGTGAGGCCAGCTATAATGTATGGTTCAGAGTGTTGGGCGGTTGACAAGAAAGTAGAGCAGAGAATGAGTGTAGCGGAGATGAGAATGCTTAAATGGATGAGTGGAGTGACTAGAAATGATAGAATAAGGAACGAGCATATAAGATGCTCCAGCGCCGGCGGTTGGTGGGGGGTGTACCCACCAGGTGTCGTTATCAAACGAATATACGTCAAATGCAGGAGTGTTGAGGCAGGCTCCTGCAGCCAACCACGGGGTTGGTACTGCGACTGCAGGGAGTGGTCCTTGGCCTGGTGCCCCTACTTTTTACAGGAGAAGCACCCCTTTGACTTGTCCAGGCCCTTGAAGGCCTACGCCACGTGCCCGTGTTCCAGGCACCTTTTTTTTTTTTCAACGACCGGCTTAGTTGTAGGCCGCCCTGGAACTACCGTTAGGTATTACTTCAGGGCGGCCCACGCCGTCTCTAAAACTCACACCACCACGTTGTGAATTGGCCCGAAATTAATCAAGAGCTGATTCACAACGTGGTGTGGCCTCCTCCGTTAAAAGCGAAGGGGGCAAAAATAACTCACAAAAACATATAAACACGAATATCTAAGGCGCCGGCCTAAATCAGCGCCTTAGGTCCTCCTTTACCGGGCGGCGCGGCTGCCTTTGTCTCAGGCGTTCAGCTTCCTCCTTCTTTTTTAAGATGGATTTGGCGAACGCCTGGACGTGCCTCCACGCCTCCCGGATTCCCAACATCAGGTCCACCAGGACCTGATCGACTCGGAGCGTGGACCCTAGACGGGACTTCCGTCAAGCGCTCAGGCGGATGACTATGCTCCGGTGGCGGACTCGCCTCTCGGAGGAAACGACGAAAGGCGAGTGGACCAGGTCCCTCATAGGACCCGATAGGCTGGTCAGGTGGGTGGACCGGACTTACGGTGAGATGACTTATCGTCTCACCCAAGTGATGTCCGGCCACGGCTGCTTTAACGAGTACTTGCACCGTATTCGTAAAGCAGCCGCGCCGACGTGCGACCACTGTTCGGATCGCCCGGGAGAGGCTGATAGCGCTCTGCACACCCTCTTCCGGTGCGAGGCGTGGGCCCAGGAACGGGACTCTTTATAGTCTCGACTATGGTCCACGTTCCGAGTTAGGTCCATGGTGGACTTTATGTTTGTTAACCGTGAAGCGTGGTTGCCTCTGTCTCAGGCGTTCCGCTTCCTTCTTCTTTAACAAGAAGGATTTGGTGAAAAAAATTTACGACTTCATATTATATTTTTTCAATTTTAAATTACTATAACTTTTGAAAAATATATGGATCATTACAATTCTTTTTTTATAAATACTTTATGTTTATGTCTTTCATTTGAAATACTCTTTTTTAAATCGGACTATTTCCCATTATACAGAGGGGGGTTTAAATTTTTAAAAATACGAATAAATAGTAAAACTTTTTTAAAATAACTTTCAACAATATTCTGGAAATTCTCCGTGCTTTAAATATATGTTAAATTAAAGGTTACAATAGATACTATACGTTCAAAAAAAAAAACTAAATTGTCCTGATTCCTTTTCTTCTATGTAATTTTTATGTAAAATCACTGTTTAACATAAAATATTTTAATACTTAAAACTTCAATAACTTTTTGAAAAATGAACAAATTAAAACTTTTTTTTTTATATTAAAACTTTAGATATTTTTCATTCATTTGATATACATTTTTTTTTAAGTCTCACTCTTGAACTGCCTACAAGGGAGATTAAATAACAATTTTTACACACAAGTTAAACTTCTTCAACATAATTTTTGAAAATGTTCTGAAAACACTGACACTTTTATTAAATCTTAAATTAAACCTTATGTAATACATTTTACTATTAAAAAAGAAATCGAGATATAGTGAAAATGTTTATTATATTGAATATTATGCTATGTTTGTTTTAAATTTTTGAATTTTGTATTTTAATATACCTTATAATGTGGTACACTTATTTTCATGAATATTATATAAATCTACAGATGAGTTCTGATGTTTCAAACTCATTGCAAACTCATTTCAAGCAACAAGATAATCCATGAAAGCTTTAACAAATTTATTATTCAATTATGTTTTAAATACAAATGATAACAACAATAACCCCACTTAGTTATACACAAATATTTAACCAACTCCTAGATCGCGATATGAAACGACCATAATAGTTGACAATAAAAGAGTTTTCATTTGTATTCACATTTTTTGATTAGTAAACGATAAGACAGAGAGTCCGAAACATCAGAACTCAACAGTAAACATAGATACATCCTCTTTGCAATTCTTTCAAGCAAGAATTGAATTGTTCAAATTAAAATAGAAAACGTTTTGAGGGGATATTGAAAATCGTGTTCACAAAAAATTCAAACGATTTTCAGCAAAAACAATAAAAAAAATGGGTTGTGATTTAAATAGTAGTCGTCATCGATTTCACAACTTGTACAAAATAATAAAAGCAAATGTAAAGATTTGACAAAGTTTAACGCAATTAATGAACTATATATGATATCTTTTAAATATAGGTTCGTAGAGTGGTCGTCGGAAAAATCAAAAAATGTATTCTTCTGTTGCGGTTGCTGATTTTTACCGCACTCGGGTGGTATTAATGTACTAACGAAAAAGAAAGAAACACAACACCTTTTGGGTTCAAAGTAACGTATACTTTATTTTAGGTTGTACAAACTTTAGATTGTTATATATACAAATATAACAGAAGCAAACACCGTAAGCAGTTCTTTTACGGAAAATATATATATGTGTATGCACGAAGACAATAATCGTAACGGCGTGTTCGGCGAGCAATCCAATCGGTGTGGTGTCACGGAGATGACTTAACGTATATTTGCGGCGGGTCGTAGATGGACGTGCGGCACTTGCTGGACTTTGTACCGTGGCATATCGCACGCGGTGTTAGTCAGTCAAACTACCATATGCACGTAGTAGGGCGGCGGCTGATAAAGGTGTCACGGGTCGCGGGGCTCCGCGTATAGAGAACGACGCGGGGCCGTGTCACTTCTTAACAAAACTAGTGAGCGATTTACTCTCAAATGAGCAAATTTCCCAAGAACTTGTTTGTAACATATTATAAAAATTATTTATACTTATGAGAAAGTCCAGTTGTTTGATTAATGTCAGTGATAAGATTTTTATAAATAAATATAAAGAGCACAAAAGTATAATATATTATTCAAGAGAAAAACGATTACTTTTTATTTCTCATGAAAACCACTGTTGATTCAAAATAAAATTGAATAATGACAATTAATTTTTTCACTAATTATCAATAGATTATTACAGTTAAAAATTATTGTTATTATTTTACAAAATCAACCAAAAAATGTTAGATGAATTTATTTTTCAAAAGTAATATAAGGTTCCTTTGTATAATAGTTCAATTATACGAGATGTTATTATAAAATATGTAATGAATTATTGTATGAAATACATTGGGGCGGCTAACGAGTCAAGAGAAAATCCAATTAGAATCGTTTGCAAAAAAAAAAAACGACTAAAAATAATGACATAACAATTTATGCTCATTTGCCACAGAATTGACATAACATTTTCGTAAAAAGTATTTTTTACGAAAATTTTTAACCAGTTTTAAAAAAACTGTTGTTTTTCACTTAACAAATCATTATTTGACAAATTCTGTCACGATTAGTAATGTTTTACGACCAATGAGTAGAAATCTCATAAGCATTATGAGTAAGTAATTTATTCTTAATCAAAATAATTCATTCGATATTACTTAAAAATTTACATTGTTAAAAACTTCAATGGACAAACTCCGTGTTATTTGAATAATTTATGTATGTCTATAAATGTCTATTGAAATATGTTCAGATATATCCGTGTCATAAATTTATTGATTGTGTTTTGTGCTAATCGAATATTTAAAAGGATATAATAATAATTGCTAGTTATTCTTTTCTCAGAGCAACTACTGTTGGTATATTGAGTTTATTTGCATTGCCGTTTTTACAATGATAGACAATTGTAGAAAAAAAAAATTTAATTGTTATGCATGGGGACATTACCAAAATGACATCATGTTCTAAGATCTTGAAACTATACAATGAAATGCAAACGTCAGCATAAAACTCATGACATACACAATATGTTCTTTAATATGTATTTATTTGAATATTGAGAATATTTCATATTTCACAGAAATATTTTCAATGATATTTAGTTATATAAACGGAATGGGTACTTGTAGGTGATGCATGTGAAGAAATATTTATTCAGCAATTAGACGAAAACGTACCATATATATATATATATATATATACTGCAAATTTATAAATGAAATTTTCAATCAGATAATTAGGTTATTCAGATAATTTCATACAATTAACGGTTACATTTTCTTTTTATTTAAGATGCGTAAAAATGTATAGTGCGTGTATTTTTCACTTATCAAAAAATGCATTTCACGGCATCGTTATTTCTTTGGTCGTTGGCTAAATCAATGATTTTATCTAATTTACAAGTAGTAAGTAGTGTATTTGTACCTAGTATGTATAATATTTGAAAATTAACGGATCGTTTTTTTTTTTTATCAAAGAGTTGTTTAGCTGTGCTTAAAGGTACTAAAGTGGCTATTCGGTTCGATAAATTCGAATGGATCATACACAATAAGTTCGGACATGTAAATGAAGTTTACGTCAGTCAATCGAATGGATCCGATCTTCTTAACGTAGCAATAACGTTTAATTTTAATTTTATTATACAAAAAGTGAGAATTCTTGATGTATTTACCGTACTTTTTTTAATTTTCGTTTCGGTTACAGTTAAGTTTTGAAATAATAAAATGCAAAGAGCATTACATAGATTGCGTGAATTACAGAACTCTTGAAATCGCACAATTTTGTGGGAATGAAAAAGCCATACTACATTTCGTCAAAATAGGATACATTAACCGCGAGTTGATGTGTACAATTAAAAAAGTAAGATGATATTATAAACTCTCGTTTACGGTTATTGAGTAGTTGGTTTCTTTTGATTTTAATTTACTTATTAAATTAGTTAGTTAATTACTTACTTACTTATTTTCACTGATTAGTTTTAACACGATTCAATGTAACGGCATTTTGTGTGTGTGTTTGATTCAAGGAATTATATATGATGAAAAATGGAACAATAAATATAGAAAACGTAGTTGGATCGTTTGCGCTTTCGTTCGATAAATGGTGGGAAAAATCGTGGAAATGGAAGTTCAATTTTTTTTCTCACAACGACTCATTTATTATGCAGTCAAACGGACAGCTCCGATACCTACTTTTGAGAAGCCAAACTTCTAGATATAGTAGATAAAAAAATTTACCCGTTTATAATTATTTTTTTAACTATTACATTATTAGTGTAGTATTTATTAAAGCTTGTTCAATGTAATATACGATTAAAACATTAAAACGTTCTGATAATTCGTTCTCTTCTAGTAATCGATTTATAAAATCAAAAATAATATTATTATTGGTAGATAGGTTTAATTTTTTTTTCCGAAGCATTTTCAATGGTGATTTTTAATAATTCTAAGATATCGGATTATTACATATATAGAAAATATTACAATACCGCAATACTAGATTCCTGTTGTACTTGACTTTTATATTTTAATATGTCCTAGGAAATAAAATTATTGTTGAGCTTAGACTTGCGTGAATAAAAGTTGAATTGAAAATTACAATAAAAAGTTATACCTCTATTTTTTTATGAGATTGGCTTTCAATATTGATACATATTCACTTGAAAACACATTTAAAAAAAAAAATACAATTGGATAAATTTTATACAACAGAAAAATTTCGGCAGCACTTTTTTGGGCAAAGTTAAATTAGAATACAAAATGCTACGCATTACTTTATGTAATATAATTAATGTCACTAAAATATAAAAATATTAAAAATAAGTAATATTCAATTTCTTGTAATGTGTAATCTTTTTATTGAAATCAAATGATATATTAAACATTATGAATTATATCTTTACGATTTAAATTCAATTCAAATTATTTATCTTTAATATAAATCATTGAAATAATGTTGAATATATTTAACACTACTTTAATATATAATATATATTGGATATTTATATAATAATGTTAATATTTATTCAGATAACGAATATTGATTATCATACGATTTTTATTGTAATAACCTCATATATCAATGTTACAAATAACATTTAAAATATTTGTTATAGTTATAGAATTAAAAATAATAATAATATTTCAACAAAATGTCATTATTTGGTTTCTACCATCACTTTTTCTATTAAATTTCTAATACGGACGAAATATAAACTATTGGTCTGATGATAACATTAGCGATTTTATCGTTGTTCATTAAACGTTACAATAAACACCAGTTTAGATCAACGATAATACGAGTTTTTCCTAGAGATATTAGTGGGTGGTGGTATCAGTTTCATTTGGGATTTTTCAATTTAATTAATATTGTGGTTTAGTACATTATTTCTTTTAAATAATTAAGTTAGATTTGGCTAGCCAATTTTTAGATGAATGAGTGGCGTTCTCTGAAGAACTACCAAGTACAGTGATTTCTCGCATGCCCTCTGTACAAAAGTTGGTTGGGTTTCGAATCACGTACGACATTTAAAAACAAAAAAAAAAAACAGATTTTAATCATTTTTTTTAATTTTGCAATCTATTTGAAAAGTTTAAATAAATTTTGTTGGAAATTATACCGTATTTATATATAAAGTCATTATTTTAATAACTTTACAGTCGATGTTTAATCATAATTCGTACAACGAACAATAATACGATAAAAAAAAATACAATAGTATTTACCGAAAAATATAATTATCATTTTTAGTTATGCGAAACATAACTAGATTTCACGGTCCAACAACATTCAATTCAAAACAGCTCAATTAAATAAAATTTTCATAAAAAAAAATTCATTTTTATACAGTTACTATTAGCTTCGATGCGAAGCTGAGAAGGTATTAATTTTACCATGATGTGTTTATTTTTTTTTTTTTTTTTTTTTTTTTTTTTTTTTTTTTTTT